GGCGAAGAGAGGCCTATCGCGTTTGCCTCGAGAACGTTAACGCCAGCCGAGAAAAAGTATGCTCAGTGCGAGCGCGAAGCTTTGGCGTTAATCTTTGGTCTCAAAAAGTTTCATCGCTATCTTTTTGGCAGAGAGTTCACAATCTACACTGATCATCAGCCGCTACTAGGCATTTTAGGTCAGGAAAGGCCTGTACCGACACTGGCTGCCGCACGAATGCAGCGTTGGGCCATGGTGCTGGCAGCTTATAAATATCGGCTGAAGTATCGCCGAGGGAAAAACATGGAAGTGGCTGATGCTCTGTCGAGATTGCCTCAGGCGGTGCCCGCTGAGGAAGAACCTGTTGAGTGCCTCTCAGTGTTTCAGTGCCTCCCATTGAACGTAGAGGAGATTGCAAGGTATTCAAAACGAAGCCTTACATTGTCCCGTGTTGCTGAGTTTACTCTAAATGGTTGGCCAAGACCGCACGCGCAAGAACTTGGGCCTTATTACGTGCGCCGCGACGAGCTTTCACTTGAACAAGGTTGTGTAACATGGGGTGTCCGTGTAGTGATCCCGGAACAGCTAAGGGACCGCGTGCTGAACTTGCTGCATGAGGAGCATCCAGGCGCCAGCCGCATGAAGATGCTGGCACGAAGTTTTGTATGGTGGCCTGGAATTGATGCGGCTATCGAGCATCACGTACAGAAATGCCAAATCTGCCAAGCAGTTCAGCCCGCCGCCCGTCCGGTACCACTGCATCCCTGGAGCTACCCTGCCCGGTGCTGGTCGCGTGTGCACGTGGATTTCGCTTCAAAGGGTGCCCATGTGTTTCTGGTGCTCATCGATTCATTTTCGAAATGGATCGAGGTTTGGGTGATGTCTTCTACATCCACCACTAAAACATTGGAAAAACTTCGAGGAGCCTTTTCTGCTTACGGTTTGCCCGAGGTACTAGTGAGCGACAACGGTCCGCAGTTCACGTCAGCTGAGTTTGCTGACTTCATGAACGCCAACGGCGTGAAACACATTCGCACCCCGCCTTACCACGCAGCCTCTAACGGTGCCGCAGAGCGCACGGTTCAAACTGTGAAACGAGCATTGCTCAAGCAGGTGCTCGAAGGCGAAGCAACCGGTCGGCAGTGTTCTCTTCAGGAAAATGTTGACAGTTTTCTGATCTGTTATCGCAACACACCAAACAGCGTGACTGGGAAAACGCCCGCCGAACTATTCCTAAGGCGCCAGCCACGCACAAAACTTTCCCTGCTTAAACCCGACTTTGCCGGCGCCATGCAACGCAAGCAAGAACATGTGAAGGAACAACGCGATGTGTCGCGAGGTGCTGAACGTGTGTTCAACGTGGGCGACCGTGTTTTTGTGAAAACAGTGCGCGGTGAGTGTGTCTCCTGGGAAGAAGGAATCGTGTGTCAGGTTGTCAGTGCTGCGACCTACGTTGTGAAAGTGCTCAACCAGCTTCGCTTCACGCACGCTGACCACCTGCGTCCTCGACATGCGGAACCCATCGTGAGACCGGGCCGTACGACTGTGGATGACGATCCATCGATACCGCCACCCACGAGCTTTCCAGCCCAGGTGCCGTCAGCACCACCCAGTGCGAAGGCACCGACGCTAGCGGCGCCACCTCCAGACGCGGCTGGTACGACGCCGACGCCTGACGCAACAGCACCAGCGCCACCCGCAGACCCCGCCCGGGAAGGACCGGCGACACCTACTGCAGCAACGCCGGTTCCGTCTACGACAGCGGAGAAGCAACCCCTTCGACGAACTTCTCGCGCATGCAAGCCGCCTGACCGTTTTAAACCCGAGGACTTTAGGAAATGAACATTTTTTGCGTGAGGGGGAAGGAAATGTTGTAGCGTGCGGATTGAGTTATCGCGACTGAGTCATCGCGGAAGCGCCGCCCGGCTCGTGACGTCATGTCTGTGATAAAAACGCTGCGCTCAGGAATAAAGCACTTCTTGTTCGCCAGCACGCCATGGTCTACAGTCACTTCAAAAAAAAAAAAAGGGAGTGGGGAGGGGGGTAGTTTTAAAGCATACTGTGTCGTAAAGATTCCTCTGCCCCACATTTTCGGCGCAGACTAGAAAGCGTGGCCTGGAAACGATAGTGACAGATGGGTAGTTGGTACAACTTTTATTTATAAAAACACTCTTGCCAGAAAGCACGTTTTCGTCGTGCCAGATACTCGCGCCGTGCCTAACGACGATGTACCAACAAGAAAAATGTGTGCCTCTCAAATACATAGCTTGCACTGAGCGCGAAACTTTTGCAGCGTGCATTTTGCCAAACCGGATTTGATTTTCTCAGCAAGAACAACTCGCAATGACAACCAGTATCTAGTGCGATTACGTCACGTGCAAACCATGTTAAATACTTCAGCTTTCTGGTAAGTGCGACGTTCGCAACACCAGCACTAGACGTCCAATGTGTAAAGTTGTGTAGTATTTATAGCAGTCTCGCGATGATATACGGCAGCCTAATGAAATGTTGGAGCACATGACTGATAAAGAACAGAGTCATAAAGTAAGGTCTCAAAACAAGTGCACGTAAAACCTAAGATAACATTAGCCTCCAGAGGTAGTATCCCGCGACGTTTCGAGCTGAGGCAAGCTGATGCCCAAAAGTGATTTATATTAGAATTCTAAAAAATCTTTGTTTGCCCTGCGCGGAATCTATGTTTAATTAGGAATATCATTTTATGCATTTCTATGCATTTCTTTTTGCAGTAAAGCGTTGTGTAAGGGGTTATTTAGAAAAAAATTGCGTGTCATCTCCTTATTTCTGCACATTTCGTGTATTTGCTTTCCGATATATTATGTGACCACAGTGTTTTTTGGCATGCCCTGCAACCCACTATTTTACACTGCAAAACAGCTAACAAAAGCACGTTGCCGAAGACACAACAGCTGGCGTATTTTCGAGTATCGTCCTTCCGTGTCGGTCTCAGGCTGTTATGTGAACTTCATAAAGTCAAATTTGTCGATGATAATAAAAATATACTTAATTCCTGTCTGAAGATTTGGCAGCATAAATAGAAGATTCTCACCTCCAAGATATATAAGTAAATGCGCCTTTAAATTATCTGAAAGATGTTCGGCAAATATTTTTCGGCGCTTTTATCCTCTATAGACACGTTATAGGTGATTTTGAAAAGATATAAATAATGTTTTTTTTTTATTATTTTGAAGCTATTTTAAATAACTATATGTGTTCCTCACGCATATATAACTTCTCAAATATATAGAAGTTTATTATCGCGCTTTTTATGTGTTTTTACTATCGCCTTTTTTTACTGGAACGAGTGGTGGAACTATGACGATTGCACACTTAAACTCTCAGAAAGTGTCCAATTAGGTAGCTTCCGAATTGAGTAGAGCATGAAATACCACTTTGTTCTATTTAACAAAAATCATCAATTAGCGAGGGTGATGCTTATTTGCAAATTAAATTGACCTGCATTTTGTCACGAGCAAACCTCAACATCCAGGCTATGCCAGTTTATCCAATATAAGAAAATGTTCACATGGGTAGGCACTGTTTCAGGTCAGATTCGATCTCAGTACTAAGGTGCTCATAGGTTAGAGTGAACAATTTCAGCCACTCCTTTTCGCATGATTCGTCGCCCGCATCATGGTGCTGAGAGCAAACAATATGCTAGTTAGAAAAACAAGCATTGCGATTGTCGCTTAGTGTTCCTATAAAATATAGACTGGAAGGACTTGTCCCGTGACTTTCGTGACATTTTGAAAATTGTATTCCCTTAAGCTCAGTCGTCTCGTCATCATATATATATTGTGAAACGTATTCCGTAAAACACATGTCATGATATAAATGGCGACGAGGTGCCCATTTCATGATTGTATTCACTGTAATTAATTCCTTAGTTCAAGGGCAAAACCACGATTCAACATCTAATATTGCGATACAAAGTTGTACCAATCACGGGTATTTTAGGCAACCTACTTCACTTCCGAAAACATTTCGATTCAGGTACAATATATGTGACTCTGGTAAACGAAGGGATGTTGAGTCGTATAAACACGACGTTTTGTATGTTAATGTAGATTTTCCTTTCTTGTTGTGTAGGAATTAATAACAGAATTTTATAATTTTGATACCTGAGAATAAAACTAAATTGAACAAACAAAAAAAAAACTATGTACTGTAAACGACTATTTTTCGTGGGCTCCATATTTCGCGATTTAGGTCAAAGCTGAAGTTTTGGAATAATTCGCGGGTTGTAATTTTCTCGACGCGGTGGAATCTCAATATAAATTTCAATATGTTTACATTTTACCGAAATTGTTCGCGGGACCCATTTTTCGCGAATTGTAGGCGATTCGCGAAATTCTCAAAAATAGGTCCTCGCAAAAATCAAATCGTTTACAGCAGTTAGTTTCACGGCCTAAATAGCGCCTATTGACAGAACAACGCGGAAAATATATTCTCAATTTAGCGGTTCAAACCGGTTCGAACCGGTTCGAACCGGTTTGAACCGTTATTTTTTGCGCCCCGGAACTGAACCGGAACTGAACCGAAAGCCGTGAACCCGAACCCGAACCGAACCAATAAAAATATCGGTTCGACACTCTGGTTCCCGATGAAGCAGTCTAGTTGCACCAGGGAGTGACAAGTGGAACAACAATGTCGATAATTGTGATCATTGCTTGAGCGATGGGTGACTGGAGAGAAGTGAGGAAGGAGCGCAACAACGTGACAATTGTGCACAACGCATTATCAAGACTTTGAGACTTGGGTGTTGCAACTGATCTTGGCTTCTTTTGAGCTGGGTGTTCTCTTGCCCATTTTCTTGGTACTTCTTGGTTCTTAGAAGTATTTTGGGTCGAAACAGCTTCTGCATTCTTGGGTGAAGACTCTGGCTGCTCTGCAGACGGGACCGTTGGCTTCGGCATGATTTCTGATGACAGCGTATCCAACGGAGGAAAATCGGTTTCATTCATCTCTGGGATGATAGCTTTCTTGTCTCCTTTCAAGCTTTGCTATTGCTTGTGGGGAGTGCGGTGCTTCTCCAGTCCTCGAACCTTTGGTTCATTCGTGATGACAGTTTCGGCAGACGTATAGTCGACATTGTTCGAGCTTCTGTAGTTAGTTATCTGCTTTTCAGCTTTGTAGGCTGGGCAGTTCCGGGACGTGGCATCGTGGCCTCTCTTGCAGTTTATGCACCTTGGTTGCTTCGCTTCGCACCCGCTGACGACATGTTCTCCACCACATCGGCTGCAGCGTTGCGTTTTGGAGCATGTGCTCGCCAGATGTCCGAAGCGGTTACACTTAGTACACTGCCGCGGTTTTTCGAGGTAGGAAAGGACACTGTATCGTGTGTGCCCCACAAAGACGTATTCTGGTGAGGTTCTGGTGGAGAAGACAAGCTTTACCGCCTCTGTCTTGCCGAGTCTCCTCACTTGAATGACTGGTGCTTTTTCCCTTATTGATGCCCAGAGGTCCGCGTCTGTGATTTCTGTTGATACGCCGCGAATAACGCCAACATTGGAAGATGGGGGTGCTGGCTCATACGTCTGAACTTGGATTGTGCCAAGCTTCTTCAGTTGAAGGAGGGACTTCGTTGATTCTATATTTCTTGCATCTATGGCCAATAGGTTAAGGCGATAATTTGGTCTAATTTCGACTACTCCGTCTGGTGCCAGGTTTTCTAGCATCTGTTTCAGAGCCAGAGGATTCATGTTAGTGATGATCGTGGTCGGATTAGTAGGTTTGACAATGACCACAAGGTTGTGAGTCGGCTGAGTGATCATCGTCGCCTCACTCGAATTGGATCCGTGGCGTCGTTTCTTTGCTACTTTGGTGATCCATCCACCTTCGTCATCAAACTCCTCCATGACGTTATCAGGGGAGCACTCTGAGATGTTGGATGATTCGGCTGATTGGTCTGCGCTGCATGGTTGTGGCGGTGCGTTTAGATGGCTCATTTTCCTTAATCCCCGTTGGTCGGAGACGGGTCACTGCTTCAAGAGCCGAGGACAGCTGCCCCTCGTTGAAGAACGAGGGGTTGCGGAAGAATCGGTGGCAGATATATATATAAAATTGTCATTTACCTCTAGAGCAATGTAGACAATGGTCCTACCGGACTCGTCGTCGTCGTTTTTCCTTGGTATTTCAAAAAGAAAGGCCGTAGTGCGTTCGCAATTGCGTTAAAAAACATGTTTTACGATTGCCGTTATCAAATGTTATAAAAATTTCGCCTACAAAGCTTCTAAATTTTCTGATTTTTGACGTCACCGATCAAAAAAAGCAAGGTGGTGAGCGGGGGAAATATAAATGCCAAAAATAAAAAAACGCGCGCGAGCGCGAGAAATATTTTTTCCGCGATGCGTTTTTTTTTTTTCTCGTGTCTTGCAACTTCCATCGGTTTAGACAATAAAAAAGAATACGACCATTTGGGTTGTCAGTGCCCCTTTAAGGTAAGGATAATATTTGTTTGTAGTTTTCAGGCTTTAGCGGCGAGCGGGAAGCTAATAGCTGACCACTAATGATTTCTCAGAAAGTTTTGGTCACTAATGGCCTTGGACGTTGCAGGGGGAGAAATAAATCTATACAGTTTATTAGCTTAAAAATCCGACAAAGCTTACCGGAAGCTTTCAGGCCTTCAAACTCGCTTCTGCTGGTCTAACTGGTCGCTGAAGTTGATGTGGGTCCATTCCTCCACAGTCCAGTTCTGAAGAGAATGGGCGAAGTCAAGCCGCAGCTTCTTGAGCCTTTCTGTCAGCAGCGGCGACTGGCAAGCTGAACGGCTGTGTAGGCCAGCATCGTAGAGGCGTCTCCGAGCAGTAGTGTCGCTGATCTCGAGTTCCAGCGCGTCCCTGATATCATTGGCAGCGCGGAAAGGGTCGCCCAAGGCTGCCTCGAGGATGTGACGGTCCTCTGTTGCCGTAGTTGCGCGGGAACGGCGACGGGGGGGGGGGGGGGGGGGGGGGGGGGCTTTGTTTAAGTGTCCACTGTCATCCCGGCATGCTGCAATAATCCTTTGGTCGGTTTTGACGGGCCTTCCAACTCTGCGCGATATTTCCCGCCGTGCAAGTCCTTCCTGAGCAAGGACAACGATCTGGACGCGCTTGCCCCTTGGAACTCGAGGCGGCATTTCCGCTGAAGCGCCCGAAGATGAACAGTGAACTGAAAAATAAAGGTTTAATAGGCGAACTTCTGCCAAACAAAATAAGTAAAGAAAGAGCGCCGAGGCAGCAGAAAAGCAGGTGGCGATTCGGCGGCGTAACAGAGAGCGAGAGCGAGACTGACTCGACAAGGTCGCAGGCAGCTGCTTACCTACAGTGCGTCACTATCTCGAAAGTTCGGCAAAGAAAGTTCGAGCGTCGCGCGCAAGGGGCAAGGATGACCTGGCACTTTCGAGAGCAAGAAAGCAGGGGGAAAGTTGCGTCTGGTGCGAGAAGAACGTGAATCTTCTAGAATCCCGTGACTGAGCGTTGCTTGCTCGGCTCTGCGGGCGGCAATATTTATTGCTGAATCACAGCCTATTTCACATTTGTTGTAGTTATTCGCAATCGCTCATGAATGAAGAAAGCTGTTGAGTCACGTATTAACCATGTCAAACAACGTCCGCTCTAGTTCACGTGCACTGTACAAATCATTTGCCTGCAATGACGGGGGCACGGCGACCACAAAAACCGATGTCGAAATCGAAACCCACTTCCACGCTTTCAGCAGGGAGTAGCAGCAGAGCTGAGAACAGCGCTCGATCCAGGCACTTACTCTCGGTGGAACGCGCGATAAGAAAGCGAGCCGCCACGGCAGCCGCGTCATGCTGCTGATAGCACGGACCGGTCTACGGTCCGGCGTTCACCTTCATATCGCCTGCGGGTGCACATAACCTCTGGCCGTGGTCCATCGCGGCTTGAGACGCAGCGTATATTATATAGTTCGTATAAGTCGGAACGCGGAGCGAAAACAAAGGAAGAATACGTATCGCACGGGGCATTTTTTTCTTCTTCGAGGGGGGTGTTCGGTTCGCAGGGCGCGCGCGCTTTATCTCGACTCGTGCGAGGAAGGAGCGAGCGAGCGTTGGGTTTGCACTCTGCTCCATTAGCAATATGGCCTCCATTGAGAAGGTCCCGGCAGTTGGATAGCGTTGTTCCGTTTTCGAGTTCAAGGGTCTGAAGCGAACGTGTTTGAACTACAACAAAACATAAAAAAACAACGTAACTTGCGCATCAAACTTAACATGCGAGAATGTAAATTCTCACCTTTCTTTATAATAAGCAACACGAGCCACGTTTCGGGTACCTATCGTAGAGGAATTGCACGTACGCTTTTAACGAAACCACGTTTGAGATTATACGTGGAATAATATATCCTTGTACTTATTTTTTAAATTGTTTTGTTCAAGAACAGCGTATAACGTTTGCGCATGCTGTACATTTTGCGCAATTTGCGGTTGTGTTCGGGTAGAAACCTGCCTCCTCATCAAAAGATCGCGATAAAGGCGGCGCCCGAAGAGCAGGCAAAAAAATTCGTTCCAAGTTTTTACGTGTTTCTTGCCTGTCCGACCCGTCCGGGAACGTGGAGAGGTGACGTAAAAAGGGAAACCAGGACGCCGACAGATCAGGATCGCCCGAACGGGAAGCACTTTGGGTTAAATTCAGCGAGCCTTTTCGTAATAATTGTTTGTATCGTTAAAACATGAACGCGAGAAAGCCGTCGAGTGGTCTGGGTCACCTGGACCACATGTGGTGCGTTTTAACGTTAACACGGCTGCCTACGCGTTCAAACGACCGTCTGCATGTTCAAACGCCAATGGTCCGTGGACCACGCCATCAACGCGCCGTTGACACAGTAAAGGCGGGTTCACAGATTAGGGAGTTTTAGGGAACCGCTTTTGCACGCCCGATATACTACGACGGGCCCCCTGGTACGAACTGCGCACGCGCTACCTAAGAAGACTCGCGTAAGCGCAGTTCGTAGAGGAGGGCCCATCGCCCCCAATCGGACCTGCAAAAACGGTTCCCTAAAACTCCCTGTTTGCGTCGACCGCGTCGAGCTGCGTAGCGTCGTGATGCACAGCAGCCTCCCTATTGGCACGTCGTAAGTGTCGCCATAGCAACAGCTCGACGCAAGCGGTCTTAACCAGACGCAGGTAGTTTTTAGTCGCACTCGAACGCCATTGTGGGAACGAGCCTTAATTGTGATACGATGTTACCGTAGGCCTCTAAAGACGTATAATGTTAAAGGGTGTGTCTGGTGCAAATCAGCTCGGAGCAGACAGTAGATGCAAGGTGGCGTTCAGATAGCGATCGCGGACTTGTTACGCCCGCCTTATTGTCTTGATCTAGTTCTGCTCGCGATTTTCAATTTCATGTTCTGCCTATGCTTCCTTTGCGGCCCGAGCGACGTCGCAACTCAAAATGACGAGCAGAACCTCGCCAGTTCAATCAGGCTTTCGAGTCCATTTTGCGGCGTCTACACGTGATATATCGCCGTACGTCACAAGATTCACGCGAAAGTTCTGCGGCGCCATGATCATTGTCCACTCGCTGAGGTCACTAAAATAATAAAAATTGCAACGTTAAAAAAAATTTAAAAAACAAAAAGATTACGGCTGTTTTTATTGACGCCGACACCATCGCATCCCGAAGATTTGTTGATGAGGGGCGCCGCGCCTCTTGCCTACACCGTACTGCGCATGCGCGGCGCCGCTGGTACGCCGCTAGAAGCGCTCCCGTTTGTTTGCAAGCATACTAGTCCAGTGTTGGGCAAAATACTCGATAAAAGTATTTAAGTGAAGTTACTAAAGACCTGCGTCATAAAGTATTTAAAATACTACTCAAGTTACTTTCACTGTAAAGTATCTTGAGTAGAGTATACAAATACTTAGAAATGTATTTCAGTTACTTTTAAAGATACTTCCGCATTGCTTAATTTGTATCGACGTCATTGACAGCGACAATTATGCAGCTACGCAAATCTGGGTTACCAGAATGGTTCATTAGCACGCAACAACACAAAACGAAAAAAAAGTATCGTAGGGCTATTTTATGCAGTCCGACTACAAAGAGCAAAATATTGTCACGAATGATAAATGATGAGGCGGCGAATAACTAAAGAAACTAAACGTTTAATGGGGCGAACTTGTTCCCAAAACAAAAGAAAGGCTAGCGTCGCAGGCGTCGATGTCGGCGAAACAGCGGGATCGACCACTGGGGCGAGACTGACTCCGGACCGCCCCTCGGAGCACCTTTTGTACCCGCGTGTGTTTCTGGAACATTCGGCGTAGAAAGTTCGGCGCGTAGAACATTCGTAACTCGATCAGACGACAAAATTTTCGAACTTACTAGAATGTCAAGTTGAAGAAAACAATAAAAGAGAAGTTCGCTTTCTGGTATCGAACCCGGAGACTTCCGCGCGAGAGCCAAGCGCAGTTACCATTCGGCCACGCGCTGGCTGGGCAACGCACGTGGCAATAGGAGGTATTCACTGGACGCCATATTTGTGGGCGATGTTTAGAGCGCATGCTCAGAACAAGCTCACATTAATAGCCTGCTAAGACCGGCAACCTTGATGGTGCTGAATGCGCGCTCCAAAAGGACTGCGGAAGCTCGTCGTCAGCACGCGCTCAGCAGCAGCGCACATGGATATGGCCGCCAGTGAATACATTCTCTATCACTGATAGATGTTACAAAACATTTCTGGGACAACAAGAAAGAAGTCGCTTTAGCTATTGCGGACGAGATCAGAAAGTGGTGCCGCAAGCGGTTAAATTTAGAACTAGATGGATGGGGACAATAAATACAATGGCTCAGCGCTCGGCTGACTTTACCGAACGTGGCGTCAGCGTTCAGCTGGAGTTCGTGTTCTCCGATGAGGGGGAGGA